GCGCTATGCCAAAGAATCCGGCATGTGTTCGAGGATGCTGGTATCTTCGACAAGAGAGGCTTCAGCTTATTCCTTCACGCCACCATCTTAAACGCCAGGAAGACCGCCGACGGGGGGCTCATTGACGCGACGGAGATCCTAAGGAGCTATCGGGGACACGTATGGATGGAAAATGTTCCTCTCGAGGAAATCGGGATTTGCCGGATGGGTGCCAAGAAGAAGGGGGGTGATGATGAGGAATATCTGCTCGCAGCTTCCATCCCACTCACGACTTCGGCTGATAGATGAAATGTGAGGTGGAATTCTGATGTAAGGTAGAGCAGCCACTTGCCTGCTTTTACCCTATTAGTTCTAGATATCTAGTAGGTCCGTTCGCTAAGAGACCCCTTCAGGATCGGGGACAGTGCCACTGATTACCAGTACAGCGGCTAGTCCTCAGGTCTGAGGGTTAGTTGAACCCGAGCATGAGGTGACTTGTAGTCGGATGGGACCTCTACAGGTCTCCAGCAATTAACTTCGTGAGCATCCTCGGACCCTTTCAGCTCATCTTCCTCCGCGAATACTCGTTAAGTTTAGGACTAGTCACCTTGGCCCCTAACCACTTCGATCTAATTACCACAGCCTTCAGCAGCAATGATGCCTGCGTTTATTGCATCCCACTGCACACTAACTTAGGCATTGTATCCCCAGCGAAAGCAGGCAGCATATGCGAGAATGCGAATTCGTTTCTTGGACCTCGCAATAATGCCGTGATCGTTTCCGCCAGCTTGGCTCCTCCGGAGCTAGATGGGTACTTCCTCATGAGTTTCAACAGTCCTCGGCCATCCGTTGCTAAGCGGACAGAACGATATGTCTGTCTTACAAACGGACAAGCTACAGCTACTACAGCTCTAGAAAGGCCGTAACATATTTAGGCTAGCTGTCTGTTCTTTAGCAACTCCATATAGAAGCTACTATAGAATCATCATGTAGCGATTTGGAGAAGTCTTGTGGTCTTGCTAGTAAAGGGCCTTTGATCTGCAGTTTTTAAACTGATAATGAGCTCATGAGGGTAGTCATTGGTCTTTAGTGTTATCCTAATCTGAAAGTTGCTTGTTCGATTCGTCAACAATACCCGTTGAGTTGTTAGCTGGGTTCTCATTCAAATCCCACACAAGTGGACAACATGGCTGCATTTAAGAGATAATAGGGTTCATTTGTGGTACTTTGAAAAGATGCAGCTTCTAATGACTCGTCCCTACTTCAGGCGTGTCTGCTGAATCTCTGCTTAAGGTAGGACGAGTAGAAGGTCTTAGAAATAGCCAGAAGACAGTCGTTATTTAATAACAGGTTAGGCCTGGCTGGCTTCAACGACCCAGATCCTTTGCTATGCGCTATAGAAAGCAACCCTGATACGTTCTGTTCTGTGCTAGCTCTTGATGGCCGCCTGAAAATTTCTAAGGCCTCAAACCAGGAGTCGCATTGTGGGTCTGACGAGGTGCATTTGATTCTACAATAGGACCCCAACAGTAACAAAGCTGCAAGCTGCTATCCTGATGGTCTTGTGGTCAGCGTTGAGTGTGCATCATGGAGACAGGTCAGCAGCCACCTAGAGATTCTCTCCTGTTTTATTGCTTCACTTCTGGTGAAGAAGGCCATGAGTAACCTCATAACCACAGGAGATATCATGATATCTATAATAGTATGCCCAGGCCTCTTATCACTGTTCGCCCAGGCTCTCAACCCTGCTGGTACGGTAGAGTGATAGCTAACAGTATATATGCGGAGAGTGCCAGAGCTTACAGACGTACTCAAGCAACTTCCACCTCTAACGTATATACAGTCTGCTTCCTAACCTACTAGTGAATATGCAGTATGTGATGATGAAATTGGGCGTGGGAAGGAAGTGATACACAGTGTCTAGCAAGACTTAAGCTGCGGAAACAACCAAGACGAGAGCCATACGTCAAGAGGAACATCTATTAATAAGCTGGTTGGGCACCCAGACCGTTAGTGATGATATACCTGTATTGTCATTCCCTGCTCTTTCGCTACCTACATAGCTGGGCGCTAAGCTGCATATGAGGACCGGCTTTGGCGCATTTTACGACCTCCTGATGCCCCACAATGATAGGTGCCAGCATGATGAACAGCAGACTGGGGAGCATAGGACTCTGAGGATATTGTTGCGGCGAACTAAACGGTGAGTCGGTGTGGGTGCAGGCCGCCTTGGGAATCTGGCCATTAGCCAGGAGAGGCAGGCACGAAAGGATTGAAAGCTATTCTTCTCAACACCGCTCCCAACGCAATCTATCTTACCTTACTTTATGACATGCTGAATAGTAACGGTCGTAGCTGCCGAAGATAGACAAACGATACAAGGCCGTCGCAAAAAAAAAAAAAAGCGCCTGAATACGTTCGGCCTTTTTCGGTGGGAGTGGCGATCGGCTCGGACCGGACTAGGGTTACGCAACAGCGCGTTTCCTCGCCGCTGTCAGATGCAAGCCGGGGACCCCGTCCCACGGGGCATATTACGGACTATGGCTTATAGCACGGCCGCCCGGCCAACCCCCCCCCCTAAATTAGATCTCCCCCTTGTACCCAGGCACCCAGGCAGGCACCTCCTCCTCGCAGCGGGGTCTTGCTTGGTCTGGGCTGTTCCACTGGCAGGGGTGGCTTGTGGAAACGCAACCTAAAGCCGAAACTCAGAACCAACGACATGATTGGTCCCCCGGGCAGAAATCGTCAACGCGTCCCTGAGCATCCTTCTCGGCCTTCAGGGGAGATATTCTGCACGTAATGCGCGCTATTTCCCCCAACGCGACCCAACGCGACCTTCCTAGCGTAATGCGTCAGTCTAGCCACTGACGTCCAATTACTCGGCTTATCTATAGGTAGCTAGCGCGCCCTATAGATGGGGTGAGGCAGGGTTCCAGATTAGCGGGCGGCTTTTAAGACATTGTTGCCCTGAAAGCAAGATGGTCCCCGGCACCTGGGATGCAAGTTGTTGCCCCGAAGGCGGGACGTCGCCTCTGTCAAGATCGGCATTCTCACTGCAACAGCAGAGGAAGCATACAGGAAACTGCTATGCTAGCCTAAGTCAAGGGCAGCAATGAGATATAGAAGTCCTTCTTTGCCTTGTCATTTGCGCCCATCATAGACCTATAGACCCTTTGCAGGCAGAGATGTGCGTGGCCAATTGTAGTACGTGCTCCTATCGAGTCGTCTTTGTTGTCTGAAGAATCAGATCATACATTCTGCACCTGTCCACAGTATGAATCCTGTTAGCCAGGCCAAGGCTCAAAGAAGGTATGTGCTTTGACAGAGAGCTCAAAAGTCCAATAGGCTTCCTTAGGTATCAGAAGCTAGTAGTGAAACAACATCAGAAAGAAAAGGCTAAGAACAGCCTCAACTACGCCCGGTAATCAGTGTCATAATAGAGACTTTCAACAGAGCTAAACCATAAACACTGAAGTCGTCCTATAGCTCTACTAGTAGGGTTAACTACCCGCTGCACCTCACTAGGGTTAGGAGTGAAGGCTGAAGCTTCAATATACACTGGGCTGCAGGAATGTGATCCGCCGCGTCACGTTTAGCTTTCTTATCCCATTGACTACTGCATAACATCGGAACCTCAGATACAATTCCTACTCTTCGCTCAGCATGCTATTCTTGAAAGGGTATGGAGTTGAGGGGAACGACGGAAACAGAATCATATGAAACCATAATTATTTACGACCCCGCATCGAGATCTACTGACGTCATATGGCAGTCGATGGGATAGATTGGAGTTTCAGCTGTAAAAGTAACGCGCAACCGTAACATTCGGAAAACGCATAGGTGTAGTTACCCTTTGCATAGTAGCTAGCTAGGCAACTAACCACCTGGCCCTGATCTGGCAGGACTGTTATTGTGAAGGGGCTAACCTTAACGCGTGTGGTTTTATTCACTTCCCCCTTTTTTTTTCTTTCCTTTTTTCTTCTTTTTTTTTTTTTATTTGTTCCCATTTCTCAATCTTCAAATCCTTCTGCCTCACCCTTTAGCCCGCAAACAACTCATACATAGTAGTATTCTCAATGCTTATGCAAAGTGCAGACCGTACAACCTACAAGCGCAAACATCGTCAAGTCCGGCAGTCGTGTAACGCTTGTAGTCTGCAGAAAATACGATGCGGTAAACAGCACCCGATATGCCACCGGTGCGCGAAGAAGGGGCTGTGCTGCCAGTACAGCATGTCTATGCGTACAGGTGAGCGTCAACGACTAGCCGAATTGTACGACATGCCGGGGAGTAGCACAGGAACGTTGTCATCATTCGCAGCTCCTCAGCTAGTGTCACTATCGCTCAGCACGACGGAGGATCCCTCCACCGAAAGCCCGACGAATCGCTCTCAAGCCTCGTTTGACGACGTCAGGAACTGGAGCTGGCTGATTGACACAGCATCTATGTATTTACTGGAGCCTAGCCTGGAGCTTGCAACAAGCGAAGATCCTTCGACTAATAGCATAGTGTTAAGTTCGCCTAGCAATCAGAACACGCCGTCCTCTCCGCAGTATTATCCGAGACAGCCTGATGGGAACTCCGATATCCCATGTGCGGGAGATACTCGACCCACCGAAGATGTAGGCAACAGTATCCAGGACGCCAGCCCACGGCCGCAAGTGAAGGGCGACGCCCTTAATCCCGATAGAACACGCCGTGTATATGACTGCGCCACTGAGGCTCTGAGCCTCTTAGAAAACCTCCACACGTCAGCGAGCGGCTGTCTAACGGTTGTACAACGCCCACCTCATCTCGTCGCTATCGAGGGAGACTGCAAATCCGGGCAGAAAGATATAGGCGATATACTGTCTGAAAACAGAGAGGCACTCGCCAGACTTAACAGCCTACTAGGCTGTCCATGCTCTAGAAGGCAAAACATACTTCTTTTGACGTACCTGGTGATTGCTAAAATCGCGGACTCGTACCGCCTGATCCTCGGGATCAGCGACAGCGCCGAGCCTGCAGCAAAGCATTCCACTATGGAACAGTCACCTAAGATAACTTTGACGACTGTCTCGTGTATCGGCAGCTACCCCTTGGACGATAACAGCCAGAAGATTCTCAGCGCGCACCTGGTCCTAAGGCAGGTTAGAGATCAAGTTCAGCCTCTACTGAAAAGGATACGTCCCGGCCACGGCCATGTTCCCGACTCACTACCACCTACATACAGTCAGTGGTACCCATCGCCTTTGAAGCCTCTCCAGTCGACGTTACCAGTTCATCACCACTCTCACGTTACGGGCATAATCAACCAAGTGTATGCCGACGCTAGTAGTATCAAAACTGGGTGCTGACACTGTTGCCCTATATCTAAGTAGGGTCATGACGCCTCCAGGTCCTGCGCCCTCGTCGCGGATGAAAAAGCCCGTCGTTCACGGTTGTTAGCAGTATTCTCCTCAACAGGAGGCAGGGAATCGGAGCGAAACTTGTAACCACCCGATATTATGTCACGAGAGCCCGCCTTTTCGCTCAAGCTTGCCCTTTTACGCAGCGTTAGCCACTTCAGTTTCGTTCATTAGCTACCTTAATGTTTAGTAATATGGAGCTCGTTCGTTCTCAATACTATAGCGATTGGGGTGGTGTGGTGGTAGGGTGGACAAGCCAGAAGGTCATATGCCCTCATACGCCAGTCACTTATTAGTAGAATTCATCGGCAATACGAAGTATAGTAGAAATAAACCTACCGTGCCGTTATATATAACGCTGGTCCATTGTAATAGGGTAGCTGGACGAGTCTAGGAGCTAATATCTTCTTTTCCTTCTCAATCTTCTTTTTCCTGAAGTGGCTTTCTGTCCTTTCACTTACTTCCTTTTATTCCTATCTTCTGCCCCCCCCCTCCCTTTTTCTTTTTCGTTTATTGCGAGGAATCCCTTACAATGGCCACAGGCACAGGTTCCAGTCGGGCTTGATCCCAGTATAGATGCTACGCAGTGGTGTTTCCTAGAACAGGCTTCCCTTATACTATTGACCTACTAATCAGATGCAACCCTGTAGACCTAAAATGATTGCTATCATCTGCTGGTTCTCACGTGCTCGACATCAAGGTCCTTAAGCGCCACGGTGAGCCCCTCTTATCCTGCAGTTCTGCAGTATATATATCCTGTCCCAGCCGCTTACCTTGCGACCTAGGTAGACGGCTGCTCTACTGTCACTATTACATACGTAGCAATCGATTACAGTATGCCCAAGCAGGCAGCTCCTGACTTTAGACACCCATCTGAAAGCGTCTCAGACGCGCAGGAACACCAGGAACACCTGCCAGCCAGCCCTCAGACCGGCTCACCCAACGCAGTAAACGATGCCCAAGGACGACGCTAATACAGGCGAGGCCTTACGGCTACTGCTCCCCGCGGTATCGGCCGGAGGGGGCCAGCAGCGGGTTGTGCCCTCAAAGCGAGGCCTCGCCGCTCGCAACATCCCCGAACGCTTGGTGCGGCCCGCGACAGGCCGCACCTGAACGCCAAGCAGCGGCGCGCAGCAAAGCGACGGGCTCGTTTCCACGTGCCACACGGGCGAACATCTCTAATAGAGGAAGAAGCTAGGGCCTGCGACGACCTGGCGCCGCCCCTTAGGGAAAGATTCTCAGACCCGGTTGAGATACATCGAAGTCTATCGGCTATCCCCGTCCATCCTCCCCCCAACCCATCTCCTCAACCCCGCCCGCACACCGCATACGACCCGTTGATCTGCGACCTTCATATCCCTCCTGAAGAGTAAGAATGTCAGCTGTGCGCTCTGCGCCTTCTATAAGCGGGGACGGATAGCAGAGACGCATAAGCTGAAGAGGTGCTCACATCAGGCGGAATCATCGGAAGCCCAGGGCTGGTTAACAATGTTCCGGTCGTACCGTGCCCGCGGCGGCGGCAAGGGGGCGCGGTGCCACGCCTGTCGGTTCCCGCTAACGCTCTGTTGGCGGACGGTCTACCGGGAACAAATGGACGAGTGGTACGGCAATGAGCAAGAGGCGCTGGAGAGGGAGGATACTATGTAAGGAGGTACAATGCGTATGGGTAAAGGCCGTGCAGCGGTTTGTTACAGCATGCATGATCGTAGAAGGCATTGGTGCTGGTACCGGCGTGAGCACCCTGGGTGCAATGGTCCTGGAGGTGATGGGTGGTCGATGGTCGGGGTTGTTGTCGAACGGGCCCGAGCATATAGTGGCTGGAAGAGGAGATGGATGAAGTGGTGGGCTCTGGTGCCCGCGACTCCTACGGCTGTTCTGGCTCCTAGCCCACTGCTGAATAAGGTATATAGTCAACTACTGAAATCAAGTTGGAATTCTTGTTTCCTTCGGTCTTCCTCTTCCCTTTTTTCTCTTTTTTCCCTTTCTTCCTTTCTTTTTTTTTCTTTTCTTTTTCATCTGCCCTCTTCCTTCCTCCCTCAGCGATTCTTTCCCATACACGCGGGAGCCATGTGAGAATGCCCCCTATCAGTCAACAGCAACGTGGAAATTTAACTTGAGCCTGACTAATCGGGAAGTCACCTAGCAGCATCTCGGCAAGCAGGAGCGAAAGTGGAGAGAAAGGCACTATATAACTAACTACA